CTTTTTTTTTTTTTTTTTTTTTTTTTGTACATGTTTCCAGTACATAATGTTTACAGTCCTTGTGTGGAGTTGGTTCACGTACACAACACATCCGATCCCCTTTTTCTTTTCTATCCCTTCCCTCCTTCCCCCTCCCTGATCCCCTTCCTTTTAGAGAACAATTTATCTCTCTATTTCCTATTATTTATCGCGGAGATCAGTTGGGAAAAATGAGGCCCAATTGGTTTCCTCAGCCAGCACTGAGAAGAAAGAGGGCGGGGACAAGTGAAACAGCTGAGGTTAAGTTGTTTACCCCGGAAGGACCAGGAGGGTGGGAGAGAGATGAGTCCTGTGGGACCCTAACTGCTTGTGCCCATGTCTGTGTGAATAAAGCCAAGGTGCACCAGTCCCTGGGGGCTCTAGGTTGAAGGGACACATGAGCCCCTTGGCCCCCTGGATTTTAGCCTGTTTCTGTGTCTCTAGTTTTCATTCGCATCCTCCCTTGGTCAAGTACGAGCTCAGTTTATAGGCCGGTTCCTACAATTTATCTTTTATTCTGCTCTCTCGTTTTACTCTGAGTTTCTCACACAAGAGAAACCGTGTGACATTTAAGCTAGCGCGTCTGATTGACTTCACTTGACATTTATGGTCTCAAGGCGCATTCGTATTCCTCAAAATGATACGTGTATTTTTCTTTATGGCCAAGTGGTACTCCATGGTGTAAAACACCACATTTTCTTCTTCCATTCCTCTGTTGATGGACATATGGGCAGCTTCCAAGATTTAGCTGTTATGAATTGCGCTGCTATAAACACGGGTATATATGTATCATTGTATTTTTTTAATGTATCACTGTACTATGATGCCCTTAACTCTTTGGGGAAGATACCTAGAAGAATATCAGGGTCGAATGGAATTTCTAGTTTCAGTTTTTTGAGGAATCTCCATGATAATTTCCACAGTGGTTGTACCAGTTTATATTCTCCTCAGTGGTGGAGAAAGTTTCTTTTTTTCCCCTGCAGCCTTGCCAGCATTTGTTATTGTTTGACTTCATAGTGATGGCCGTTCTCAGTGTTGCCTTAATTCACATTTCTCTAATGGCCAGCAATGCCAAGCATTTTTTCATGTATTTGTCAGCCATTTGTACTTCTGAGAAGTGTTTATTTATTTCAGGTGCCCATATTTGATTAGGTCTTTCATTTGGGGGAATCTAATTTTTTTTTAGTTCTTTATGTATTCTAGATATGAGTCCTCTGAGGAATAGCTGGCAAAAAAATTTTTCCATTCTGTTGATTATTTCCCTTGCTGTAGGGAATCTTTTTTATTTGATATAACCCCGTTTGTTGATTCTTGGTGTTATACAAATTTGGTTTTATTCAAATTTGGGGTTTACTTCTTGCAAAAGTAAAGTATTCGAGGGAAATACGTCTGTTTTTTCAATTTGCAGTTTTTTCAATTTGAGATCAGGTACCTGATTCTACTTTGGTGATTCTTATTGGATGTCCAACACTGTGACTATTGTACTGATCTCCTTATTAAATTTAGAAAATTCAAGAAGGTTACTAAAATTCCAGGATCCCACTAAATGCATTAAGAAATGGTGTCTGGTATTAATTCATTTAGATAATACAAAAAAACAGAGCTACGCTATCTGAATTGTTCTTGCTATATAATGTATAATACATTTATAGTTTAAATAGTACCTTTAATGCTGACTGTAATACATATAAAAATAAAAAATAGTCATTTATTGAATGCAGCGCTGACACATTTAACTCTCTTGCCATTGGCCATAAATGTATTATGAGAGGATAAATATACATGAATGTTATAATATATCCTGCATATTCAAATTCTTCTGAAAATACAATGTGGTGCACATATAAGATAAATCTGTTACTCCTGAAAAAAATAAGATCAAATAAAATGTGAGATCACTTAAAAGTATAACAATTAAGAGTTGCAGTTCAATATTTGTTTAAACAAATTGTTAAAATTAATTTGAAAAAAACTATAAATATATAACCATAGTTAAGAACAAATAAGTACTGTCTGTACACAAATATAATAATGAAGAAATATAAAAATATGATCCTTTTTAAGCTATATCAGAGATAGGGTGCATTTTTTAAATCAAGGCCATAGGACACAGAAAACAATAGAAATATTCATAAAGCAAAAGCAAGAAATAAGACATTTAGAAGAAATGGGTTATAAACCAGCATTTTCAAAAATTAAGGATAGGAAAAAATATTCTACTCAATAATTACCATGGTATTTATTTCTTAAAACTTTCCAATCTGTCTAAAATGGTGTGGTAAAAAAAAAAAAAAAAAAAAAAAAAAAAAGGTTCCACGGGCATATGGTAAGACCCCAGGAATTTGTGTTAATTTTTTAATTTCTTCTTAAATGTCTTATATTTAAGGAAAAAAAAAGCAAAACAATTATTAGCCATTGTGTGAACAGGTTAAAAGCCACTGAAGACTCAGCAGTGTTTGTGTTCCTTGTATGTTCGTGTTCTTGCTTTGATCCCTACTGATCAAAAGCACCTTGTTTTCACCAGGCATGGTGGTGCATGCCTGTAATCCCAGCATTCAGGAGGCTGAGGCAGGAGGATCGCTGTGAGTTCGAGACCAGCCTGGGCTACATAGTGAGTCCCAGGTCAGTTGCAACTACATAGTGAGACCCTGTCTCAAAAAAACCTTGTTTTCCTTCTCTCAAATTATATAAGCTCACAATTTGTATAACAAAGTAGAATCTATCCAAGTTAAGTAAATTCTGCATTTTGTGATGTTTTGAAAAATTGATGACAGGTAATACGAAGACTAAGTTGTGTTTTTCCTAATTGTAGGTATCAACATTACTACCCTCGTGGAACCGATGAAAATTAAATTGGGCTAGACCTAGTGCACCACCATTAGTGATTTCTAACTCTTGCTCTGTTATACCACAAAAGAATATGCAAGCAACCCCGTATGGCCCCCAACACCATCCTTTTCTTCTTCCTGCCCACATTTTAATCGTAGTATCAATGAAGCTGCTAAAATAGAATGGGAAAAGTGAAGCAAGCATTCTCTTCAGTCACCACTGAATAGGAGTTGGCCACAATGTCAGTTTCATTTTAAGAAGAAAAATCAAAGCATTCTATTCTGAAAGTGTAGAGACATAATATTTTCGCTTACATTGCTACTAAAGGTTCATAGTACTTACCCAGGTAAAACAAAAGTTCCCCTTTCTTTATGGTATTCCAGGTAAGTTAATATGTTTTTAAACATTCTAAGCCAACTTCTAGTTCTTATATAAGTTGAAACATCATAAATACTTATGAATCTAATGAAGAAAAAAATAAATATACATGCTATGATTAAAAAACAAATACTATACTTGGGGGTAATATAAAAATGAAAGTTCTACTAGATATAAATCTAATATGCTCACTCAGTCCCAAACCTCTGCATCCATCCACACATGAAAGGTACAGGAGTATTTTTAGCATGAGTCTCCTGTGGCCCTGTTCCAAGGATCACTCCTCACCTGAGGTAGAACACAGTTAAATCTTCTCTAAACCAGTCTTTGGGGGTTCTGGAATCAAGCTTCTTTTTGTCATATGTTGCCTAGCCCAAGCCTCTCCAAACGTCTTGAGGCCCTACTTTCCTAAAGGTGATCCTAGGGACTGACAATTGTAATCTATGGACAACTGTAATCTCCCAAAGAGATTACAAGGCTGCTGAGAAGTTAACTACCACCAAACCAGTTATCTCCTATCATTCCTCATACCTTTGTCTGGGAACAGCCATAATCTGATGTTTCTAAGGCTCGTCAGTACTGTGACCAGATGCAGATACATCACTAAGACACTGAGCTTTTCCCACCAGGTTTCATAGTATTTATCAACCCCACCAGTTAAACCAATTCCTCCAGTGCCTGCTCCACCCCGGGAAGCAGCCTAATAATGTGATCCAGTCCTCTGTACCTCGTCTACCCAATAACTTAGTGACTATGACATGGAGGCAAAATAATAATAATAATAATAATTGTAATTGACGTATATAGCTTTTTGCTACTGGATCCCCTAGTTTCTTATCTAAATGATATTGCCGTCAGAACTTTTTCCAAAATCCCCAATGTCATGAACGCTATGAAACTGTGTGGAGGAAATATGCAAACAAGAAAAAAACAGATGGGTGATGGATAGATGGATGGATGAACAGCTGGACAGACAGATGAATATGAATAGATGAGAAAATAGATTGGTCAATCTGGACATGTGATTCTTAGTTTCCTTATTCTTTCTCACATACCCATTCAATTTTGGAGATATTAATTAAAGAAGAATTAAACTTACTTTCCTTGGATGAGGCAATAGATTTTGGTAGCACCAATTAATATCCGGGCTGCCTCTACTCCAATGACTCCATCGTTGCACTGTTTTTCAAAGCTACTCTAAACATACAATTTTAATCAAAAATTACAAGGGATCAAAATATAAATGTAAAGTACTTTCTTAGCCCTTATATAACCTTCACTATTTCTAAACTCAATAAAATTGTCCCTTTTAACCCATGGGTTCTGCGTCCATGAATACTATCAACAACGAATTGAAAATATTCAGGAGAAAAAATGAATCTGCAGTGAACATATGCAGACCTTCTTCTTACCACTACTTCCCCCAGTAATAAGTACTACAGCTACTGACACAGCATTTGCATCGTGCTGGGTATTATGAGTAATCCAGAGACAATTTAAAGTACAAATGAAGATGCACATAGTTGGGTTATATGCAAATTCTATGCCATTTTTAAAATGTTTATTAGTACATATTTGCAATATAGAGTGATTATATTCATCATGGGGAGTTAGAACATATTTATAGCACACCTTAATTCTTTTTCATGTAAGCGACAAGAATCTGCACATTTTTTAGTGTCCAAGGACTAATCTGTCTTGGATAAGGAGGGATAACTCCATATGAAAATATACTATTAAGAAAAAATTCTTACTTTTTTTTTTTTTTT